ATTCTAGCTACTTTGATAGATTACACCGACTCCCAAACAAAACAAAAAAAAGCTGTTGCCCATCCAAATAATACAAAAATAATTATTTGAAGGCTCAAAAGAGCACAAACTTTCTCCAATGATCCTTGTGCCCTCACCATCGGATACACAAACTGGCTAATCAGCATAGCAGAGTATGGCTGAAATGTGCATGCTGAAGGATTTTACCCTTTCCTTCCCTAAAACCAGGAACTTTACATTTCTAAGCTTCTAAGCTCACTCATTTTTGCTCCTACCCTCCAGCAGCAGAATTTCTGAACTATTGTACTGGACTACTCCTCCTGAGAAAACACACCTTGAAGTTTCCCAAGCTTCTGCAAGAACAGGTCCAGCAGCATTTCAGATCCAGGAAACAAAATGTTCTTCCTAATTCATGTTTTGATTTTTCCATTATGCATTCATGTCATTACTGTATGCTGCCTCAGAAAGTTTTTCTTGCAATTGATTAGGCTACATTTAATGCTATCATTTGTTTTACACCTGGACATTGAGCCTGCAAGTTGCTGTGTCTGCTTTTGTCCCACTGGGTTTTCTACCTTTTGCTTTCAGAGCCTGAAGGACATTATTGATCTTTATTTTATACCTGTATAGACAGCTAGCAACAGTTTCACATCAGAATGGCCACAGGAGTCATCTTGCTCATGACCTGTTTCGTATTTGAACTTCTTTACAGCTTCTGCATACTCAAAGGCCTGCAGAAAATCCTGCTGGAAGAATTATGTTCCATATAATGACATTTCATTAGCCTGTGCTTGCCTCCTGTAGTACACACCTTATGGGTAATAGGATGAGGTTATATTCATAACAGGCTAAAATAGGTACATGCTCCTAATGTGAATTAGAGAAGCACACAGGATTTAGGAACAGCAGAGCTGACTGCAAGCAAAGCCTGATGTCTCCATTTACTTCCAGCTGAGAATACCAAGGGAAGAGCATATTGATATCTCCCTCATATATCGTTGTTTTCCAGTAAAAGAGACTGCTTATAAAGCTTGTCAAATTTGGGGCTAGCTTTTGCAAGTTTATAACTTCTCTAGCCCTTTTCTCCCTGCTGTTTACAGCATTGATAGTTATTTGCTATTGAATTAGTTTATTCGAATTTTATGTAAAACTTTCTTCTGTGCAAATATATTTTCAGCTTACATTTCAATTTTTATAGCCACTGTTAACTTCTAAACATAAAATATGATGGCAAGTATTACGTTAATGAGGCCTCTTCATAATGTAGTTTCCTGAAGAGCACTGGTTTTACACGCATATATAACCTAAGAGAACATAGCTTTCTTTTTTTAGTTCAGATCAAGTTTTCTAAAAGTCACAATGTCACAATGAATAAATAATTGAATAAAAATACATATTATTTTCAGACATTACAATGGAGGAAATGCTGGTGTCTACCCTTTTCCTGAAAACAAGTATTTTATTTTTTGTGGGTTTGACCTCTTTAATTTTCTTTCAATTTGCCAGGCACTGTGAGAACATTTTCATCATTTTAAAACTGAGCAATATAACTGAGAGAAAACAAATTTCTTCTCTCTTAGTTTTCAATGATGAATAACAAAAAACATGGGCTTTTGTTTACTAATTTTAGATACCTGGGAAAATATAGTCTACTTTCAAGATTACTTTTTACACAAAGGCAGGAATGTGTAAAATTTTTCAGAGCATGTAGCAAAGTTGCACCCCACCAACCCAAGTACCAACCCAAGTTTGTTGTCAGCTGAAGGGATGATAAATACCAGTTTATTCTATTCATTTCAGTAAGAGTGAAGCATTTATACTACTCAAATGCTTAGCATATTTTTTGCAAAGGTGCTTCCTTGTCCTTCAGAAAATCTGAGGGGCAGTGAGCAAAAAGAATAACTATTGCTTTGAGAATGTTCAGTTTTTAATTATATGTGAGAAGTAGTTTACCTAGGGACATTTAACTCACACAAGACAAGATTCAAATATTCTTTGATCATGTTATTTCCAGTCCCATTTCTTTAGCATCCAGACTGACAAAAATTGTAAGTACATTACAAAACAAACTAGAAAGCAAAAAGTTGTTGTTTACAATTTTATTGGATAAAACCTTTGTAACAGCTAAAAATCTGAGTGTAGCTGAAAAAAATTGCTTAAAATTTGGCATTTTGGTTTCTTTCTGGTTAGAAATGCCAAGTAGGATGTTTCAATAAAGATTTTTCTATTTACAAAAGTTTTAATTCGTTATATAAATTAGATGTAATGATCCTTTAGAAAATAATTAAAGTATAAACAGAAATAAAAAGTAGTTTTTATTACTTAAATAAAGGCTATTTTGTTTTCTGATATTTACGTCCAGACAAAACAGGTGTCATAGGCTGCTTTGAGATAAATCATTCTGTCCCAGTTTTTGGATGCTCCATACTTTTGATATGGTTTGAGCACTGAACTCTTAGGAAAGGTACTGGCAAAACCCCTCAGGTCCTAAAGACCTGAGGCAGAGAATGACTTGTAGCATTTACTGCACCATGTTGTTGTTGAAAAGTCACTTTTATGAAGGGTAATACAGAGCTTGAGTTCACTCTTAACACTTTATCTTGCTCAGAGTTTCAGTCAAATCGTTTTCTTTTTAAAAATTGTCACAAGTGCACAGTACATAAATTTGCATTATTGGCAGGTTGTTCATCTTTAGCTGGAGAAAAACTACTAGGAAACTACTTTGTCCTCACTGTGACCTGTGTATCCTGAAATTGCACACAGTTTAAAATGAGACCTGAAATATTCATGTTTCATTTAAATTATGCAAAATAATCTACAGCAACCATAAAACCTTATGAATCTGAGAGATATTTTCAGTTACATGAGGACAGGAGATGAGTAAGGGTTCTGTCCAAAAAAAAAAAAATTAAAAAAAGAAGAAGGAAAGAGAAGGAATTGTTTCAAAAGTAGGACATGAGAAAAGTTCAATTTAAATGCTACAAATGAAAGCTACACTTGGTGTTTTAATCAGCTAGAGACAACGCAAATGGTAACAACAGATACCTATAGTAGAGTTTTTTAGCCTGGGTTTATGTCCACACTCTTTGAGTGCCAATGTAGATTTTCAGGCAAACAACCACCCTGCTCCAAAGATAGCAAAAATGGTCAATCTTAGGATAAAATGTCCTCACATATCAGCATAAACTCTACTTAGCAACAACTAAAACCTGAGTTTTATTAACATTATCCTCGTCTCAGTTCCAAAACACAGCATTGCACCAGGTACTTGGAAGAAAATTAACTCTATTCTAGTCACAAGGGCATGAAGACACATGCACCTAAAATACCACAGCATACCTCTCAAGCTAAATGGGCAATTTTTACCTGCAAATCATCAGCAGATAGAATAAGAAACTTTGTAGTTGATTCACATGATTCCAGACCTTAATGTTGATATTTTATCATCTCCCCTTTGCATTAGTGTCATGATACAAAATGAAATTAACGTCATTTAGTACAAAAAACTTTAAAATCAGGCCTCTTCAGTAGCCCAGATAGCTGTATCTTTGAAGGACTGAATCCATCAAAATATGCTTGAAAATTCTAAGATAATGTAAAATATAGCACAGCCCTTCATTCTGAATAGAAGCAGGGGAACAGGAAAATGGGGTTAGTCTCTAACTGTGTGGAACAAGATAATGAGGTGAGAAATATCTCTTTTGTACAAAACAAAAGGAGCAGGCAAAACTCTGTAATCCATTAAATAATACTGTGTTTGTCTGGAATTGTAATAAAACAAAATTAAAAAGGAAAAACATGCAGTTATATGGTTTGTTTCTGCGGGAAATGGGAAGTCACAAGAGCAGTCTCTCTACTTGTATGCAGCAATAGATTCTAGGAAACACAAACAACTGGTTAAATGAGAAAAATTGCAGAGCAATTAAGAAGAGAGAAGAGAAGAGCACAAATCATGCAAATCAAGGCTCTCTGCTGAAAGGTTTGCTTGAATGTAAGACAAGGAGATGTGAAGCAAAGCATACTTAAGATTCAAGAGAGAGGGAAAATACCCACACGAGAAGTCAGCCAAGACATATAAAGGTTAATAACTCTACTTTGCAAAGAGTATTCTGAGACATAAATAATCTGGTGCATTGTGTCATGTTGCAGGAGAAACAGCTACATTTATAGCAGCCTTTTCTTTAGAAGTTTAGTTGGAAGCTGTCTGAGAGTGTAGAAAAGAGTGTAGAAAATTGCATGACAAATATATATTTTAATACAAACTCTACTTTTTAATAACTGACAGAATTCATCCAAGAAACTGTTATTTCTATACCTGTTTTTCTTAAATCAGTACATACAAATGCCACTGTGAGGTCTTTTCCTCCCTCAACTGCTGTCTAACCTCCTCAGGATATCTGTTTGAAACCACTAGGGGATTGTGATTGTAGTCAGTCCAACAAAATCCCACGTTCCCTATGAAAGGACATAATTAATCACCTGTCTTGGAATGAAGTAAAACTTCTAGATTGTATTTAGAGGGGGAGATTTTATTAATCAAAAAAAAGTGCTAGTACACTGCCACCCGAATTTGCTTTCATTTGAAAGTAAGTCGTCATGGTGACATTTTTCTCTCTTTCCTCCAGGGAAAAAAAAAAACCAAAAAGCTTTGAATAAACTTTACCTAGTATAACTTCATTCAAAAAAGTATTATTTCTTGGCTTGGGTAATTACCGCTGAATGCTGTGAAAGGACAGTGATTCACAAATATGTGCTGGACACTCATATGATATCACTCCACTGCTGTGCCTGTGATTCAGTCACCAGACAAAATATGCAGGCAGGAGAATCTCAAGAGACTGTAGATAGAATGACCCATGGAAGAGACTTTGTTTGTTATCCTCATTTGGGAGCTAGGGAACATAAAATGTTACATCCGTTTCTCCTTGGCAACAATGATGAAAATTGTGTTTTTCATAAGTTATGGAATGGTTGTTTTATGGTCTTCCTCTTGTTCCCAGTACCATCTGGAAAACTTGGAGACAGAACACATCTTCATAAGCTTTGCAAAAAAGGCTTGATTCCAGCTTTGGCCGGGGATGTCAGAGGACTGAAGTCAATGGAACATGGACAGGAGAAAAATCCTGCTTGCACTAGTGGCTCTTAGAATCAGCAAAGAAATACGCCAGATGAAACATACATCTCCTCACTCTATTTTAATTTTGTTCTCATTGCTATGTTAGTTTAGTGGTTTATACTAAAAAAACATGTCAGGTGAAACTCATCCAGCAATCTCCTCAACAGTGACCTTCTAGAGCCACAGAAAAGCACCACAGCTCACAGACTTGCACTGAGCAGGAGCTTCTTCTGTGCCTTGGGTGAGGGGTTACTTGTGACCCTACAGATTAACATCTCCTTTGCTTCCCTGTCAAGTTCCCAAGGATCAGCTGCTTCCTAACTTTTTGTTTATGGCCTCTTTTCTTCAGATGTGTGAAGATAACTCATAAAAAGTGGCCAACAGACAGGTTCTGTTACTCAGCCATTTTGGTAATGGAAGACTGATCTGATTTCTGGGAAACAGACTGTGAACCTTGGTTCCTAAATTTCTGCTAATGTTGTAACTACCTGCCTGTTCTGCAAAGAGTGATACCTCGAGCCAATCTCTGGAAATTGTTCTGAAACTTCTGATATCAGAGTGTACTTAAGTTAGTTTTTGTGCAGCAGTTTTAAAGACTGTCTTATATAAATAATCTCCATTGAAAACAAGAGAAAAGATAGCTCATATAGTTCAAGCATCATATAGTTCAAAGCATCATATAGTTCAAGTCTTTAATGATTATTAAAGATTTAAAGGAAAAAAATCTGTACAAAAAAATCAGAGTGCACAATGATACATTTATTCTTAGTGGTTGGAATCCCTCAGCTTTTTTCCTAACAGTAGATTATTCTACTATGATTTATATTTTCAATTTATCTGCGCTTTTAATTCTTGTAAGGGACACAACATAGATGATACATCTATATGCTATATCTGGCTAGGTGTTACACCTGTTTTTAGAAACTAAACCATATTGAGAAGGTTGCTGTCTTTTTATTTGTACCTTCATAGCTACACTATTGACTGTGTATAAATATAAGAAACAGCATAAAATTGTTAATTTAAGAGATGATAAATTAATGGCAAAAATATTAAACTTACATATACCTTTAAAGGGGGCACTGGTATAGTTGTATTTTAAAATGTTCACTGTCTTTGGAAGCTAACGGAATTGCTTCCAGAACACATGAGATGTTTTATTTTTCATGAAGGATGAAGGCATTTAAATAGGTAAGTCATAACAGAAACACTAGTATGACCATATGGCAAAACAAACTTGCTTTCTGCTAGTCACTCAATCCTGTGTCTGCATCTTGCTACAAGAGTAATAGCTTTTTTTATTCTTTTAAGAGCTGTTGAGGAAATCCTGTAGTCAAAACAACACTGGCTGAATGTGCATTTGAAATTCTCAGTGTAAATACTTATTTGCTTGTCATGCATTTGATTTTTTACAGCCTTAGAAGAGAAAATAACCTTAGGCTATTTGCATGTATTACTGGCAATCATTGTGGAAGAACTGGCATGCTCAAAACAGTGACTCATGACCTGCTTCCAACTTTCCATAGCTTTCATTGTTGACACTTGAGTTCCAAATTTTTCTCCAAAATCAGGAGGTCTATATTTTCATGCTTTTAATAAAAGCTTAGACTGATGCAATCACTCTGGCACTTTGCATGAAATCATACAAAGCTATTGGGCAATCAGTAATTAACTCAAATTTGAGATGATTAATTGGTTTTGTGACTTCTGTAGAAAAACTACCGGAAAGCCAGCATAAAAGATGAGAAAGACTGAGCATAGGACTAATTAACATAAGAATCATCAACGAAAAGGAGAATTAATATGAACTATGTGACTTGTAGCCAATGAACATTAATGCCTCTGTTTGCTAAAATTTTATAAATTGTGAAGAGTTTCAGTAGTTGTTGTGCTGGCTTTGTGGAGGTGCCATCCAGCCTCCATTTCTGGACAGAAGTGTAAGTTCGTCTAATACCTCGGCTCTGTGTGTGGATCTGCCTGTTGCACAACCTGCTTTGGGACAACACCAAAAGATAATGACCTTGGGGTTATGAAAAGGTCACCTGGCCACAACACTACAGGAAATGCAACTGCTACTAAATCATCTAGGAGATGTGTGGGGAGCTCTGAAGAGTGCTACAGAGGTTGGACACTTTTAAGGATTTCACCCCACAGTAAAGAGTGTAGTAAATACTCTCAAAGATCAGGGGTTTTGGCCTCACATGTTGTGAAATATCAGCCAGACACAGAGATTAGCACCGAGCAGAAAAGTTGGCTAGAATTTGCTGTGCCACAAATCAACTGAAAAATATGAATGTGAAAAAAACTCAGACCTATTTACGACGTAATTCTGGTAAAACTGAACAACAAGTAGCGGAAAAACCAACAAAAAAATTATAGAGTGTAAGGATTTAATCTAAAATACTGGAGATGTTTCCAAGCCTTAAATTTTCTTTATTACCTACTTTTCATGTTGGGTTGCAAAATAACTTTAAAAGCTTTGCTGAAATTTTAAAAAATGTCATGTTGTTAAATGATCCTTACCTGTCCCTGCAGCCTGCTCAATGCTCCAGCAGAGTTTTGTGTTTGCCGTGCCTTCCCCTGCATCCTGCCTGCTGGACCATTACTCAGAAGAGAACAGCATCTGGATCAGGAAACTACATTTTGGGACCTAAATGTGGGGGGAAAAAATGTAAGTATAAAGCCACAATAGATTTCTGAGTGACTTTCAGCCTATCCATTAAGATCAGTCAAAGCAGGAAGCCTCTGAAATTTTGTGAGCAACTTCTGCAAGTCCCCTGTATATATTCTAAATCAATGGAAAACACAAGGCAGAGTTTTTGAAAAGGTTATTTTCATTTAGATAGTAGAATCTTATCTTTGAATTCTGTATGATAAAGGGGGTTCCCCTGGAAAATATGTATTGTCAGCAACAGGTAACCTTTGATTTCTTATGACAATCATGGCAACTGTCTAACAAGTTCATTGTCCTTTTTATTACCTTTTTACAGATGACAAAATAAAATAAAATAAAATTGGAAGGTTTCACTTTTCTTTTATAATTTTTTCCCTAGATTCATGTTCAAATCTTGCAAGTTTTGTGGTTAGAGAAAAAAGCTAATATTTTGTTCAAGCAATACATTTTTTACTCATAGGAAGAGCTCAAAGAGATACAGCAGAAAATGAAAGCATGTTGACAGAACAGCTTATTTGGACATTATTAGTATTTTTATTAAAGTAGTCCCAACATAATCTGCAAGAAAATAAATGTGTGAAGGAGGCTCCCTGCAGAAGTTGAAGAAGCTCCATCCTCAGAGGTACAGAAAAATCAATCAAAGCTGGAGCAACCTGCTCTGATGTCAAAGTTAGCCCAGCTTTAAGTGGGAGGCTTGAAGATGGGTCCTGGATGTGTCTCTTCCAAATATGAACTATACAATGAAATAAAAAGAAATACGGTGGAGGATGGAAATATGAAAACACATACAGATGTGTGATTGCATAAGCATTGTCTTCTCAGAAAATTAAGAACAGAGAATTTCAGAGATACGGGCTGAGAACACAGTCTTATTTCTGTAATGTGTAAAGGCACTGGTTTTGTAGCCATTCAGCAGCTGGGTCTCAAACAATAAGACTCAGATTCAGTTACCTGTATTTTGATCAAAATTAACTTATTGGAGCTGGAATTTTCAACAATGAATTATTTACTCAGGGTAGTGATTTTCTTTTAAGTCCTTTAAAGGAGTAATTCACTCATTTCCAAAAACAAATTAGCAGAAAATATGCATTTCTTTCATGTATATATAATGTTTATAAGTATTTAATTGAAGCTGTGCTTTGCGGTAGTGTTTTCAAGTTGGGCAGCCTAGAAAACCTGCATAAACTTGGTCAAGTCCTGAGTGGCTTATTTTATTTACATAATTGCATAAGAGATTTTTTGGCATTGTGTAGGTGGTCTACAGCAGTCTCTTCACTGACATATTCCATCTCAGAGCTTCCAAGACAAGCAGAACTTTTTGTGTTTGTATACACAGGCTTTCTACAGGAACAGCATTGTGAAGGCTTAGGAGCAGAAATCAGTGATGCTGCTGATGCACAGAAGTGGAATTTGAGTTTTATGACTGGATGGAGAACACAGCAAAGAATTAAGACATGGTTGAAGTGAAAGGAAAGTTTGAGAGTAGCAGAAGTAGAAGGATTTATGATCACTAAAGCATATTCTACTCAACTTCAAACTCAATCCTATGCTCACTGCCTTCCCATGACTTCATAGTTATAAAAAGGTATTAAATCTTTAATCAGAGTAAGATGTAATGATTTCCTTTTTCTCATACAGCGTTTGTAAACAAAATGGATTGTTTTCACTTAGTGGACCAAGCTCCTGGAAAAAAAACAAACCAAACCAAACCCCTGTATAAATGGCTTTGTTTAACCAAAAAGGTGTGTAGAAAAGGAGACAGAAAGGAAACCTGAGTTCAATGACAAAGGCAGCTGGATGCAGCCCTGAGTCTTCTCCTTGCCTTCATCTCACCATCTTTCTGTGATTTGGGCAAACTCCTTAACACAGATTTTTCACAAGCAGCAATAGTTTTCTGAGTTCTGACTCACAAGAAATTCTCCCTTTTAGTGGCTTTGCATATCTGCCCCTAGGATGGGATGCTTCATGCTCCCCAAGCAAATATTTCTGGTTGCTATAGTCAGTTAGCTCAGATGCTGGCTCAGGTTTCTCCAGGGAAGATGTTACAGCGTGAAGAAAAATATATCCTTCAAGAGCTCAGTTCAAAATGGCTGCAATTCCTCACAGCTGCACCAGAACACATTGGGGGCTAAAGTGAACACAGACAATCCTAGAGAATCCTAAACAATCACTTAAAACAAAAAAATAAAAATTTATCCCTAAGTATCGCATATTGGGCCCAAAATATTTAGGTTCTTCCAATGTTTTTTGTATTTGTAGAGTGAAATTCCTCTTTTCTTATCCTTTCCCATCCTTTTGAGAAAAATTAACTAACCCATGATCAAGAAGAAAATGGGTAATATACTGGTAAGTGGCATATATATACACATATGTGTGTGTGTGTGTGTGTGTGTGTGTATTCTAGTCAGTTCAAAATCACATTTCTTGTGCCCATGTAAGTAATTACTATAAGATAGTGTAGCTAAGGCTGTAGATCTTTTTTTAGTCAATAAAAATTGTTGAAAATTAAACAAAATGAGGGAAACAAAGCTGTAAGCAGTGAGGCAGTATATGTGAACTCCAGTGTGATGGCTTTGGCCATCACCAGGATCTAGTGTTGGTCACTGCAGGACAGGTTTACCCCTGGAATCCCCAGGCTGAGAACAGGCACCAGTGTAATCCCAGATGAGCTCCCAGTGCCACCCTCCTCTCGCCTTCTCTGCTGCCCAGCCTCTCCACTGCATGTGGCAGCCCGGAGTACAACTAATCATAATTCCAGCACTAATCAAACCTCAGGAAGTGAAGCAACAATTGACCTATTCACCCTTGCAAGAAGCAGCATAAAGAAAAACTCTAGGAGCTACACCACTGCCAAAGTACACTGTCAGGGAAATAAGCTGCATTTGTTTTTCTGACAAAGGTTACAGTTCTTTGTAGAGTACAGAGCCACTGTGACTCACATTGTTGTGTTCTTATAAGCACACTGCACACCATTGTTCTAACAGGTATGCCTCTTCTGCCTTTATTATTTTCATGGCATTCAGCCTGAGGTTAATTTGACATTCAGCCTGAGGCAACTCGACTGTGTGGCCTATACTAACAGATATCATTCATTGTTTTTGAGCAAGTGTGCTCATGTTGATAGCTTTTCCTTTTACAAGTAGGTTGGCGGCACTAACCAGCTGCAGCTTTCAGAAGTCAGGCACACAGATTCCCATAGAGAATTCCTTAGTTCTGGAAGGGCAGGTAAGGCCTTCTTCCCTTACAAGAAAACAGACAGCAATTTTGTCACTTGCCAGAAAATGTGCAGGCCCCACTGGTGGAGATGCCATAATTCTTAATTAGCCAATGCAGCATCAAAAGAGGCTGCAGAGTTCATACCCAACTTTCCATCATGTTGCTTATCAACCAAAAAAGAACCAATGTTAATAGTATGTTAACAACATATTAACAGTTAAAATTAGTTTTAAGATATGTGAAGTAAACCTTGTCACTCTTGTTATTCTTTTACCAAAAATGGGTCTTCTACTATATATGTTTTTCACAAGATTTTTAGCTCAACACCTGCATTGTCCAATTTGTATCTTCACAAACACAGTCCATGGCAGATGGTGACATTACATAGTCAATGAGATCAGGTTCTTTCTCCAGCAGAGACAATAAACTTTCCCACACTGTCCTTATTTATAGCTTAAACTCTAGGGAAGAAAATTACCAACACTTGACATTCACTGCCTTCTGGAAGACACTGCAGCCATGGAAAGGTGCAGTGGGAATCATTCCTGACTAGCAGTTTAGAATATGATGGTCCATCTACTCAAAAATAAATTGCAGCCAGTAAATATTCTTCTCTTTAATTTTTACTTACAGAAAGACATCCTGATATATTTGATAAATTTTAGTCATGAGTGGGTTGGATTAGCAACTTCGGTATAAGACTTTTTAAACTACTACAGAGTGCAACACTTTTGGTCTACATATATCTTTATAAAAGTCTTTTAAAAGCAATTCCTCAATGGGCAAAAAAGCCCCATCCACCATTTTTTTTGTGAAGATTATATAAGTATTGACATTAGAGTCAATTGGTAAACCATTAAATTGTTCAGTTGTAATGTGTAGCTGCTGTATCAACAATGTCTGAAGGATCATCCTATGCTGCCACTAAGGACCTACCTCATCTGTTGCGGCATGAAATTCTGTATGATAATTTGTAATGATGCAAGTATCTGGTAACCTGCTTATAATAACTTATCAGCAGAGACAACAGCTTAATTATATAGTGCATCTCCTGATGGCTTCCAAATATTTCTGCCATTCCTCACTAATTTCTAAGGGAAACAATAAGTAAATAAATAGGAATCAGTTTCCTTATTTTACAGTATTCCATTGGTTTATGAATGGAAGACAGAAAGCTTTTATTAGCTGCCAAGGAGACTGTATTCTTTGTGCTCTCATCATGATATAAAAATTTAGCCCTAGCCACCCATAAATCCTGATGGATGATGGAGAACAGGACCCATTTAACTGACCCAAGTCAGTTAAAGGATGTGGAGGAAATCCTAGACCAGACTTCTCAGAGGGTTGTACAGACTATTATCTCAAAGGTGACACTCAGCCCTGGTCAAGTGGAATCTCTGTTCACACTGATAAAGTACAGGCAGCTGGGATGAAATGCCCTTCTCTTCTGGTCCTACCTTCAGGCTCATTCTGAGCACAGGATCACAGGACCCATCTTGGGAACAGCACTGGACCAGCAACAGCACAGGAGTTTCCAGTGTGCAGGAACTTTCTCTGGCACAGAGGCAGTGAGAAGGTAAATCAGTATGGGATCAATGATATAAAAGCAGAATTTCTTTCCTCTGTGAATGAATAATCTGTGTAGGTATCAGGGGCCTCCAACATGGTTCTGTCCCTTTAAACATTGGCTCAAAAAGGAGTTCTGACGTGCATTCCCATAGGGAACCATTAATAGTGCTTTCCACTAGAGTTTGCTCTTTGCAGAGACAAACTCTATCACCTTGTTTGTTAATATGTCTGTATTCATTCTTGGAATGAATTTCTGTCCTATAAAAACCTGTAAAATGGGAATCAGACACTTCAGCTGAGTGAGAAAATGTCTTTAAATTTGGGAACTGCTATAGAAAATGAGATTTTGCTTCATAAACATTTCTCTGAGAAATCGGAGATAATAAATAACAGAGTAGGGATTTCCTCCACCCATTTTGAAGCAATTATTTTTAAAATACTTTTCAAAATTAGAAAAATTTTAGCATGCATGGAGAGGAAATGGATGTGTTTAGGATGTTCTGGTTTTGCCTAGCACTATAATTTGGTGTAGAGAATTGGGAATGTATTACAATAAGGAGAATAGGCAGTGAATTACAGTCCTGTAGTTAAAATAACCTTTAAAATCACTATCTTTCATTATGAGTGTTTCAGTGCACAGAAAAGTCTCAAAGAAAAAAAAACAACAAAAACCACAAACCAAAAAAACCCCAGGAATGCATGAGTATTCAGTCTCCTGAGTTTTAGTTCCTAGTGATGGCACACTAGAAATAGAGAGTATAGCAATAAGACTGAGTCATGTAAAAAAGCAGGAGGAATAGATGTTAGTTGTGCAGACTAAGGAGTTTGTTCCAAAAACTGTGTATGCGCTGCTGTGCTTCCCTGATCCCTGCAAGCAGCAGCACTGTGGTGGCCTGCAAAGCAGTGACCCACTCTGGGTCACAAACCACACTGTTTAGATAGCGTGGAACGTCTCACAGCCAGCTGTTCCAGGCTGCCTTTCTCCCTGCTGTGCTGGCTGCACAAGCACAGAAAAGGGAAATGTTCTTCTAGCAGAACCCTGAACTGACAGTAGGAGGTTTGTGTCAAATATATCACTATCCGTGGCGTGAAAGATACTGGAAGCTGAGGATAAACTTTTCACTCATAAGAAAAAATCTAACATTATATTATCCGTACTTCCCAACTATTCCACATTGTACCTCTGTCCCCTGTGACCCTTCTCCATTTTCAGTGAACTTTTAGGCAGCCTTAGAATGGATCTTGTAGGATCATATTTACAGGAAAATGGACATGTACTAAATGAACCAGCCTAACCTTCTGGAACTAAAGAACAAGGTCATCTTTATGGATAAAAAAGCTGATGTTGCAAGAAGAGAGAAGAAACAGAAAAGTTGCTGACAGACAAAGGGGTGCCAACCCGAGTAAAATTACGCTTACAGCATCTACCAACTAGATTAAGAAAGAGATGCGTGCTTGCCTCGTGGACAAAGCAGAGATACCAATCAAGAGATGCATGGACAAAGCAGAGATACCAGTTAAACAATGTGTGACTGTGTAGACCAAGATAAGAAGTAAATATAAACAATGTTTAGAAGCACAATAAACGGCTTTTGCTTGATTCACATTGGTTGTTCAGGGTCATTTTTTCTTCTCAGGATCTGACCATAATCATTTTTCCTAGAGAATTCAAACATTCATAATGACAGCAAGACATAAAGCATTCGTAATTACATCATAGAATTGTTTAAGTTGGAAAAGACCTTTAAGATCATTGAGTCCAGACATTAACCTGAGTACCACACCTACGTGTCCTTTAAAGATCTTCAGTGTTGGTAACTCTACCCCTTCCCTGGACAGCCTGTTCCAATGCTTGAGCACTCTAGGTGAAGAAACTTTTTGTATTATTCAATCTGACCCTTCCCTGGCACAACTTGGGGCTATTTCATTGGGGAAAAAAGATCAATCTCCACCTGGCTACAACCTCATTTCAGGGACTTATAGAGAGAGAGATTGTGTTAAGCTTAAGCCTCCATTTCTCCTGGCTAAACACCTCCAGCTCCCTCAGCTGCTCTTCACAGGAACTCATTTCAGGGACTTGTAGAGAGAGACAGTGTTAAGCTCAAGCCTCCATTTCTCCAGGCTAAACACCTCCAGCTCCCTCAGCTGCTCCACACAGGACTTGTGCTCCAGACTCTTCCCCAGCTCCATGCCCTTCTCTGGACATGCTGCAGCACCTCAATGTCTTTTTTGCAGTGAGGGGCCCAGAACTGTACACAGCACTCGAGGTATGGCTTCACCAGTGCTGAGTACAATTCCTGACCTGGTCCTGCTGGCCACGCTAATTCCTGTTACAACCCAGGATGCTATTGGCCTTCTTGGCCACCTGGGCACAGCTAGCTCATGCTCAGCTGCTGTCAACCAGCAGCCCTAGGTCCTTTTCCACCAGGCAGCTTTCCAGCCACTCTGCCCCAAGTCTGCAGTGTTGCATTAGGTTCTTTTCCACCAGGCAGCTTTCCAGCCACGCTGCCCCAAGTCTGCAGTGTTGCATGGGATTGAACTTCTGCACCTGGCCTGGTTGAAACTCAGTTGTCCTTGGTTCCTTGATCCAGCCTGTCCAGATCTCTGCAGAGCCTTCCTAGTCTCCTGGAGGTCAGCACTCCCATCCAACTTGTCATCTGCAAAGGGACTGAGGGTGTACTTGACACCTTTATCCAGATCATTGGTAAGATGCTGAACAGGGCTGGCCCCAGCACTGAGCCCTGGAGAGCACCACTGGTGACTGGCTGCCAGTTGTGTTTAATTCCATTCACCACCATCCTGGGCTTGGGTAACCAGCCAGTTTTTCACCCAGCAAAGAGTACACCAGTTCAACCCATGACTATCCAGTTTCTTCAGAAGACTGTTGTGGAGGGGAATCAGATAAGACAAGCAGGACTTACCTTATGCCCTTCTTTGCTGACTGGGCCTGACCCTCTGGTAGCCCTGTACTTACTACCAGATAGCACTCAAGATGATCTGCTCCATGACCTTCCCCAGCAGCACAGTCAGGCTGACAGGTCTGGTCCCATTGCTGATGTACTCACAGAAATTTTATTTGTGTGTCTTTTAGGGCAGTAGCCAGATAAAGCTGCAATTGGGCTTTGGCCCTCCTAATTTTCTTCCTGCTTAAGCTCCTGTTTGCTCATGTTGTGTGTGTTGGTGTAATGACACTTCAGCTGAGCTGCTGATTCCACCGCCTCCTTGGGGAGAGAAGCTCTAATTCTTACATGACCATTCTCAGGTGCTTGCATGGTTTCTAAAACATCACTGACCTTTGTGCCTTTTTTGCCATATGGCTCTCCATCTCCTACCTTCAGTGGTGAACAGAAGGAACTCGCTAGCACATAGTCACTCAAAAACTGGTGGGCTACCTTCAAGTTTGCCTCTAGTGAGCCTGGTTTTACCACTTTTCCCATTTTAGTTTAAAGTTGTTTTGATAAGTCCTGCTAATTTCTGCACAAAGATCCTTTTCCTCCTTTGGGACAGGTGTACCCCATCCATTGCCAGAAGGTCTAGTGTTAAGTAGACAAAATCATGATCAAAATCCCTGAATTCTATGGATGACACCAAGCTTGAAGCCAAGTATTGGTCTGCTGGATTGTACCATTCCTTCCCTGCAACAGGATGGATAGAGGACAGTGACAGTTGTGCTCCCGATCCCTTTACAATCATCCCAAGGCCCTGGAGTCCCTTACTTGCCCTTGAATTTCCTGTTGCAACTTCATCACTGCCTACCTGAAGAAACAGAAAACGGATAATAACCTGAGGGTTGTGCCACAGGGTTACACTTTCACTTTACATCTTTAACCTAGGCCCCAGGAAGGATGCAGACTTCCTGAAGAAGTCTGCCTGGTCTGCATATGGATCTTTCTGTTCTCTTCAGAAAGGATCTTCTATGACATCAATCTGCCTTTTTTTCTTTTTATGTAAGTAATTTTGACAGGGGGCACAGGCTGAATTAGCTTTAGTGACACCTCCAAGCCAGACTGGACCACCCTCCTCATTCCATTCCAGTTGCAGAGCCTCTCACCTCATGTGCCAGGTCACCTGGGGCAATGGGGCAGTAACACAGGAGACGTGCAGCAGCCTGTCAACATTCCTCCATCTCTTAAGTCACTGTGCTTTGCCAGGCAGAGAACCAGGAATCCCCTGTGTCATGCAGGGCTTGTCTGGGGATGCAATTCCAGCAGTTTGTCCCTCTCACACCCCCAGATATCCCATTCCCAGAGGGCTAGCCCCTGTACCAGGGATTGCCACTGCTGCCCTCTGGTGCAGAGCAGGGCACAGCTATAAAGTCATACTCTGGGCTTCAAACAGCCCACTAGGCTCCCAAATTTATCACCTCTATTGAGCTAGTCAATATCTGTTTTAGCTAGTTAATAGCTGTTTGTTTAGACTATTTTAATCTACAGTTATCTTCTTCCAAGACAAAATAACCTGCGGTATGTTTCCATTTAACTGGTACATGCCAAATTAATTTGTAACTGTAAATAAATTAAACACCCTGAGAGATAAAGGAAGCACTTCACTATGTACTATTTGGAGAGTATAGCCAAACATGCTGTGATAACTATCATCAGGAGTTTTCTCCACAGTATAAGACTCTCTTAAAAGTAAGTTGCCTAAAAATATCTTCTTTATGCAGAAGGAATTGCAAGATAGTTGTTGTGCACAGGAAGGAGAATTTCCTATTAGACTTATACAGATATAATTTTGCAGGTTGTGACAATACAATCTGTGACAAGTTTCTGTTCCCCACATCTTTCCCTCTTTTCCAACCTATATGAATCTATTATTCTATGACTACGTAGAAAGCTGTTTTTAACAAGACTCACCAGTGCATATGTTTACTCTTGTTGACTACTGACTAAAATCTCTCTATAACGCTGCTATCATCTACAGAAACTCTGTCACTGTTTTCAGTAAGATTCCACTGTCTGCAGATTTTCTGTTCTCTGCCTGCATTTAATGCCCTTTCAGCTGTTTACACTAAGGAGTAAATAACTTTTCTCCCAAATTTTTGCCTCTCTCTTTGCTATATTAAACCAGGCTCAGAGCAGTAGCTTTGTTTTCTCCTCATTTTTGCTGAGTGAATTTGTTAGTAAACAATGACAAATTTTCAAGGGCTAGCACCAGTTTTCTCTATTTGCTGATTTCTCTAAGAAAGCAGAAACAGACAAACAGGTACCAAGTGCAAGGTTAAATACAGTACTTAAACTATGTCCTTCATAAGAAATCTTATTAGACAGTTTTTAAAAGCATTTAATAATTTGAAACTAAGCTCTAAGTTCCCTCATCTTTCCAAGGAAGAAAAAAGAAAACAAGAGGATGTCAAAAGTTGTGAAATACTCACAAATCCTGGAGTGCTGAGCAGCAAGTCGACACGACACAGAAGTTAGGATAAAGTTTGCACAAGTGACAGCGCAAACGCTCCACCCCCTCCTCCATTCTGTTTTACTTTCAGTTGTTACATAAATAAATTTGTATCTAATAAGGTAAAAGTTATTCTCACCACAAAGGGCAGACCGCAGGGATTTCCTGCTGCCATTTCCTAGCAACTTTCAAACCTGGGGGAAAAAACCCTAAACAAAACAGCACAGGAAGAGCTGCAGGGAAATACATAAGCCTACAATTTAGAAGGCAGGCAAGTGAGTGCCGAACACGAAAGGCAGCTGCTGATTGCTATCTGAAGCACGGACCTTCCTGGACATTCCGGCTTATCGTTCCCTAAAGGGAAGAAGGCTTATGGTTTGCGCCCTTTTTGCTGCACTTTGTAGCTTAAGTGTAACCTTCTGACCAGGGCTGGGCAGAGCTGCCTGCCTTGGAAGCAGGCACTGTAGCTTTGTGCTGTGACTCCTCCTCTTTCCAACGAGAACAGTGTTTTTTTTTACTGGTGTGGCTGCCTTAGGAGTGAAAATGCAGCAGCCTTCCAGGACAACACCAAGAAGCCATGGAAGAAGATTATGAGGACAGAGAAGAGCTTCTCCAAAAGGCTTCTTCATCTGGCTTGCTGTGGAACAACAGGGCAGGGAGGTGGCATAGGCCAGCAGAAGAGTATCCTTAGAATGGAGCTGAAAAGAATAATCTGCAAATTGCATTGAAATCCAGAGCTGTGGATTTTTAGCTGTAAAGAAAAGTGGAGGTTTAGGGTCTATAATAATCACTGGGAATGGCAGCTGTACACCTAAAGTCCTGCCTTGATACCTCATCATAAAAAAGCTTTTGTTCCTTAAGATAAACTTGAATGTCTTGAAGATGAAGCTTAGCAGCTCCCCAGGAGTACTGTCAGGTTTCCAGGACCCATCCTATGTAAGGTTCATGCATTCAAGAGGCAACAGTGAAAACTGTTCTTGATCTCTGTGCAGTCTCTTTGATATCCTTGGCTGTGCTGTTCTGGGTGCTAGTTGTTATTCTGTGTATGTCACACTGAGAGGTGCTAAAAATATTCTGCAGCTAAATGACAGGGTTTTAGAAATTACTGACTGCTTACTGAAGAAGAGATGAGTTTCTGGAGCTGGGTATTTCCTTCTTGTTTCTCAGAGAAATAATATTTTTTTCAGGAACACTACTTATAAAACAATAT